ACTGAAATGAAAGAGGAACTGCGTCTGTCCTCCAGAGGAAGAGAGCGGCGCTTCAGTCGATTGGGGTCACTGATGTTATATCAACTCTCTTCATGTGTGTGATGTAACACACACTCAGCCGGCGCTCTCGTCTGCAGCTGATATCTGTCTGTCATCAGCACTAATGCAAGTTGAGAATAAACTCACAACCTGACAGATATTAAAGCAAAAAAATTAACATTTACTCATGTCGCTGCAAACTCATATTTCTGAGGAACATCCTCAGCGGCGTCATGAAGCATCAGAACAAGTAATCCATACGACATATTCAAGTCATCTGAAGTCACGTGATGCTTTGTGTGAGAAACTAATTGAAATTGAAGTTATTTTCCTGCGTTTCAGCACTCAAACAAAATAAAAATAAAATAAAGGTTCTTTATTGGCATTCATGGTTCCATGAAGAACTTTTAACATCCATGAATGCACAGGGTTTCTACAGGTTTTATGAAGACCCTTTTTATAAAGACCATTGTAAGACCAATTAACAGAATAAATTGAAGGGAACACAATTTGTTACAATATGATATTTAGATATTTGTATTGGACCACAAGTCAAAAAAACTGAGGAAGATATTCATTATTTGGAGTGCATGCAACACTTAACACCATAAATGTGAGACTTTCTGCTCTGATTTAAGGCCTTCATTTGTGGAAGAGCGTATAAAGACTTTATAAGACCTGCAGAAACCCTGAAAGGTACTTTGTAGTGGAAAAAGTTTCTTTAAAAATAAATAAAAGTCTCTTCTTCTGCTCACCAAGGCTGCATTTATTTGTTAAAAAATACAGTAAAATTGTGAAATATTATTCTAATTGTCTATGTGAATCTCTGTTAAAATGTAATTTATTTCTGTGATCAAAGCTGAATTTTCAGCATCATTACTGCAGTCTTCAGTGTCACATGATCCTTATGCACATGCACATGATGCTTTGTGTGAAAAACGAATGAACATTTATGTTATTGTCATGCACTTCAGTGTTCAAACCAAATATAGCGCTACATATTCTTAAAAATAAAGGTTCTTTCTTGGAATGCAGAAACCCTGAAAGGTACTTTGTAGTGGAAAAAGTTTCTTTAAAAATAAATAAAAGTCTCTTCTTCTGCTCACCAAGGCTGCATTTATTTGTTAAAAAATACAGTAAAATTGTGAAATATTATTCTAATTGTCTATGTGAATCTCTGTTAAAATGTAATTTATTTCTGTGATCAAAGCTGAATTTTCAGCATCATTACTGCAGTCTTCAGTGTCACATGATCCTTATGCACATGCACATGATGCTTTGTGTGAAAAACGAATTAACATTTATGTTATTGTCATGCACTTCAGTGTTCAAACCAAATATAGCGCTACATATTCTTAAAAATAAAGGTTCTTTCTTGGAAATGAACATCCATGGAACCGTTTCAATGCACAAAAGGTTCATTATAATGGAAAAGGGTTCTCTAAAAAGAAATAAGATGAATCTTTGAAGAACTGTCTACTGAAAGGTTCATCACAAAACCAAAAAATGGTTCTTTGATGGCTTTTGGAAGCTTTATTTACAAGAGTATATGTTAAAACTTGATTTGGCACAACTCAGGTTTTAACATATTTGACACAACTTGTGTGCTATAAGATATTTTACGGTGCTTGGCGGATGTTAGTAAGATCTTCCACTGTGTGGAACCGAAAGAACGCTCTTCAAAACATCTTTTTGGTGTTCCACAGAAGAAAGAAAGTCATAAGGGTTTGAAGGACATGAGGGCGAGTAAATTACGTCAGGATTGTAATGTTCGGGTAAAAGATTCAACCATTCAGTCGCTGCTGTACAGATGGAGCTGCTCTGATTTGTTCTGCTTCTCGTGGCTTCTGTGTCGTCTTTGTCTCCAGCGCAGAGGAACACAAAGAAGGAGGGTCCGGGTGGCCGTTTGGAACAGCTGAGGGTGTGTGGTGTGTGTGTGTGAGAGAGAGAGAGAGAGTGTGTGTGAGTGTGAGAGAGAGAGATGTTCCACAGAAGAAAGAAAGTCATAAGGGTTTGAAGGACATGAGGGCGAGTAAATTACGTCAGGATTGTAATGTTCGGGTAAAAGATTCAACCATTCAGTCGCTGCTGTACAGATGGAGCTGCTCTGATTTGTTCTGCTTCTCGTGGCTTCTGTGTCGTCTTTGTCTCCAGCGCAGAGGAACACAAAGAAGGAGGGTCCGTGTGGCCGTTTGGAACAGCTGAGGGTGTGTGGTGTGTGTGTGTGAGAGAGAGTGTGTGTGTG